CTCCCTGGGATTTCTTTTACACAGAGCCAATATTGCTAAAAGCCATGTTACCTTCTGAACACATAGCATACTTAATGTGAATTATTTTATTTCTTTGAATGTGAGCCTCACATAAGCAATAAACACTTGCATTTGCTGTATGGTAAAGACAAACTACCAACAGTGCTTATCAAGCCTCCCCTCCCCCCTAAAATGATCAAACACAGGGCCTGATCCTCAGTCAGCAAGCTGGGTTGAACTGTGCTCACAGCAGGAACTGAGGAAAGTAATCTTCAGCCTTCGCGAGCTTTAGCACTTGTATAACTGGTCCATGGCTACTACCGCTGGCTATGGGGCACATGGCTCACTGTTCTCCCCTGCATGTGGTTTTGATTATATGGATGTAAGTAGTGTGCACCCACCGACCACATGCTCCTTTTGTGTGGATCACATTTACTGTCTTTCCTTCCACGTTTATCTGCTGTGATCCACCATGGAAGTAAGTTCTGCAGTATGCTGAGAATATGGGTAGTCCCTCCTTTGTGGGTTCTTCAGTCCTCCTCATAGCAGAAACAATATTTCCACTGCTTTAGGCCTTTACTCAACTTTCTGAATAACCTCAAGATTGGATACAGTGAAAATATTTTTATAAGATTTAAATTTAGCTGTTTTTTTGTTAATTTCTGAGAGCTTGCAGTAAAGGAATTTAATTACCAAGGACCAGTGATTGGTGGTGATGGTACCCTCCTGAGTGATGCCTGGCATGGTACTAAAGCAGCCTGGCACAAATGGTGGGACCTAACCCCAGTTCTCTGTGACAAAAAGATGCCGATAAAGTTAAAAGATAGAGGTGTATAAAACTGTAATTCAACCCTTTGTAACGTACAGATCAGAGGCTAGCAACAAGAAAGGAGATCAGTATGCTCTCTACCACAGAAATGAAGTTGTTGAGATTGTCAAATGGTTGGACGCTCCACGATAGGAAATTAAATGAGATTGTAAGGGGCCTAATAGAGGTTGCTCCAAATGAAAACAAGTTGAGGGAAGGTAGGCTACACTGGAATGGGTGTGTCCAGCAGAGACTGGAGTTATATCAATAGGATGGCTTTCAGTGAGCATGGATGGAAGATGACCCAGGGGATCCCAAAGACTTGGTACAGGGACCAAATATCAGTGAACCTCAGAGAGATCAGTCTACATGGCAGCCTGGAGTACACTCGAGTTTTAGAAGAAGGCTATAAAAGTTGCTAACCCTGAACAGGGGAATGGCAAAGAAGAAGAAGAGTTAACTTCTGTACCTATGAATACCATAGAATTGGCAGTGAAATTGAACCCTGAAGTTCTGCATTTAATTACAGGTTAGACGTAATTTTAAGCATCTAGAATGGGAACTTTTTCACCCTCATTCTGCAGTGATGTAAAACCTGGCTGTGAAAGATTCCTTTAGTGAAGAGTGAGAAGCTGAATAAGCCACACCCACTGATCTCTTTTGCTACTTGTCAGTTCCATCTCTCTGATTCCTCACTATCTTATATTCCAAATAAATGCATTCATTCCAAAAAATGGAAGCACAGCGCAGCACCTTGCTAATGTTTAAAAAGGCTCTTAGTCTAGTTGTAGTCAGTTACTGTGAATAGTGTAGTTTCTGTATCTTCTCATATGTACATAAGTTCCCCTTTCACAGTCTCTTTACTAGAGAGAAGCACCCATCCCATAACTTCTCTTAAGGCAACTTGTAAAATCTCACAATCTAAAAATATGATAGGTCTGTGTCTCTGTCTCAGAATAAAAATACTAGGATCTTTCCTCAGAATCAAACTTTCTCATCTGACCTTGTGGTGCGCACTGATGAAATAATCAACCTTGAAACTAGGTGAAATGTGCCTGGACTGCCTTCTGTTACAACCCTGCAAAGTGAGCCAGGTTTGCAAGGCTTGCCAAGGTTTGTAAACCTTTTGATGAGCTTGAGGTTGGGTGAACCTGTACTGGATGTAGGGTGCTTTGGATTTGTGACTTCAGGTGGCAGGAATGCAAATCGGCTGAGTGCCACATGGCTTCCTTCTGAAACTATGAAAACTCAATGGCTTTGGGGACATCTTGCTCTTAGATTTGCTTTCCCTGTGATTAGGGTTGTGAATGAAAACAGACACCCACAACCCCCCATTTTTACTCACAACTGCTGCAAACCACAGCAGAAGAGTTTTGCACAGGGAGGCTGAAGTGGCTGAAGTGAAGATGGCTGGAATGTCCAAAATTAGCTTTGTGCCTTTGCTCCTTCATGTTAGAGCTGTAGCCTCTTTGTGATTACAGTGAAGAGTGTATCCATTGGTCCCATTTCTGGCTTCTTGTAGGCCGGGCCTACACCTAAAATCTAGGTCAACCTAGCTACATCATTCAGGGTTGTAGAAAATTGCACACCCTGTGTGACCTAGTTAGGTTGACCTAACCCCCACTGTAGATGCAGCTTGGTTGATGGAAGAATTCTTCTGTCAGTTTCGCTACCATCTCTTGGAGAAGTGCATTTACAACAGAGATGGAGGGGGGATTGGGTGGGGGAAACACCTTCCATTCCTGTAGGAAGCCTCTGTGCTACCACAGCACAGCTGCAGTAGCTGTTGTAGTGTAGCCATACCCATAGTCTAGTACAGAAGTGTTAATTTTAGATTTGCTTTTCAAATATCCTCCATGCAAATCCAATGAAAGGGGTAGGAAGAATAGATGGCTAGCAAGGGCACTACAGTCCTATCCCACCCCTCCACAGATGGCCACAATGGCTGAGCAGTGCTGCCGAGATCTACCTTGACTCCAAAGCAGGTGAATGCGCCACATCTGCATTGAACTAACAATAGCCCTTCCCACGCTGCAAAACCAACCAGAGGCTAACTGGTGATACACTCTGCCCTTTATACAGTCACCAAAGAGTCTGTCATTAGACCATAGCTGGCCATTTTGTTGGTGTGAGGAGACAATCCACCATCTCTCCATTTATGACAGTTAAGTGAGCAGCTCTGACTCAAAAACACAGGGAGCAGGGGTGTTTGAATAGAGGTGCCATTTTTACATGGTTATTTTTGGGACCAGAGTTGTACTTTACTGTGTAACACAGAAAAGCAAAAGGAAATAAATATGTTGACAGGGAAAAGGAAAGTCACTCTTCTTCCCGCCCTCCCCCCCATGGAAAACAAAGAAAATTGTTTGAAAAACTTTGAACCAGTGTCCCTAAGTAGCTTCTATTGCAAACCAGTGGGAGGCAGTTAGACAACTCCACCTTATATTTAAAAAAAATGAGAAATGTGAAGAGCTATAGAGCACCTGTGCATTTTACCCATTTCTTGTAGGTGTTTCTATAACTATAATTCATTGGCAAAAGTCCGTGTTCAGTGACCATCACACTCCAGCTCTGTAGTGTGGGGATCTAGTGTTAGTGCTCTCGCTTGTAACATAAATCATGGAGGAATCCTGGCTGACTTAAGGCCTGTCACACTTGCCCTCTGCTCCCACTGCATCTTTCTCTGTTATAGTTGTGTGTCCTACTTTCTCTAGTTATAAAAACAGAAATAATTTATTTTTTTTATGCTGTGTTTTCAGAACCCATAGGGAAGCTTTGCACAAGTGTGGAGTGATGCCTCTATGGCAGAATGGCTCCTGCAGGAGTCATGCACTCTGAAGAAAGCAGCACTAGTGGTGGCGGGTAAAAGACCTGCATGGAGAGCCCAGCTAGGGGTCTCTTCTCCTTGGCTCAGTGCTTAGATAGGAGTTTGATAGATGCCGTAGATAGACAGATTGTCCCCACTTCCCCACCCTGGATATATGGGGGTTGTGAGGCTGCATCCTCCCCCTAAAGCCCAACAAAACAGTTCCCCCATAGGCAGCTTTTCAAGACACTGTACAAGATTCACCTCTGTATTTACTGGCGTCATTACCCCCGTCAGGTCGCTATTTGTGGGGAATGGACAGTTTGACCCTGAGGGACTGATCTTATGCTCATTGAAATACAAGACAAAGCTCCCAGTGACGTAAACGGTGCAGAATCAAGTCCTAAGTGACTTGCCAGAGTCTGTAGCAGAGCTGGGAGCAGAACTTAGAAGTCCTAACTCAGTCTTCTGTTCTACCCACTGGACAATGTGAACTGTTCTGCTGCAGGAGGAAATTTTATTTCTTGCATTCCAAATTAATTGTTCAATACCGGTTTATTTAACAACAAAACTATGTGGTTTGTTTTTGCCCCTGGAAAGGGGCAAAACAAACTTTACAAGGCTGATTATGAACTTCCATCCATGGTACTAAAGCTAAGTACATTACTATTTGCCAACTATCTGCATATGTGAACAGTTGAAGGATGTTGGCATTTTCTTTTAGGTAAAGATAACATGGTGAGAGTTTTTGGTGCTGGTGCCTTAGTAGGTCATAACCATCTGCAAAAACACGATGGTAGCAAGTATGTTGATTTATCTCTTGAGGGTAAATTCAATGTGGGGTGGTGTTGCCATCTCTCTGTTTTTTCTGTATAAGTTACTTAGAGCTAAGTGTGTTCTCCCTAAATCCTCTATATTAGATGTAATAGCATGTTGCTCAAAGGAGCAATCAGGCTCAGTCCACTTCCCATTTGTAACTCAAAACAGTTAGAAACGAGCAGAATTAGCACAAATTTAATTCTTTCACTTAAAACCATAGGTTAAGTAGAAAGAAGGAGAGGTGACTATAAACCGTGTGTGTATGTATATATATATATATATGTATATACACACACACACTTGTTACACCGGAACACTTCGTTATAAGAAAAAACAAATCTTATTGGTCTCTGGTGCTTAATTAAATCTTTGCTGTCAAAAATATTATGAACTGATTTAAGGTGAAATTGCAGCTCTGTTGAAATCACTTGGAGCTTTGTTATTGACTTCAGCAGGACCAAGATTTCACCCTCGGTGACTGTAATCTCTCTAAAGATTTCCTTGTGGTGTATACTTGAATGAGCTGGGCTTCCTCCAACTATCCACTTTTTTTCTCTTTAGCATTATCAGGAGGGAGTTTTGTGAACTTTGGATTCCAACCCTTCTACTTCTTCCACTATGAGCCTGAGAAACCAAATCTTTTTCATCATATGTGGACCGTAAATCCCATGGTATCTCTGAGAAAAGGGCCTGGACCCAAACCACAAGATCTGAACATCTTGAAGGTTGGTGGATTTGAAACCTTGATGTGAATAAGAAATTCTGCAATATTAGGGTTGTTTGCGCGGGGCAGCTCCAGAGCAGTGGAGCTGCAGGTTTTTGCCTGGAGCTGGAGCACAGCTCCAAAGCCCTGTTTGCATTTGTTCTTTGTAGAGAGAGGCTCATCTGCAAATTAGAGCTGGCTGACAAAAAATGTCAAAACAATTTTCTGCCAGAAAATACCACTTCAACAAAACCTACTGTTTTGTGAAATAGTTTTTTTCTTCCAATTTTTAAAATGTCAAAACTACCCATTTAGAAATCTTCAGAATGAAAAGGGTTTTTTAAAAATTTTTTGTTTCAAATGAACTTTATATTGAAAAATAAAATAAAGGGATTGAAATAGAAACGAAACATTTTTCAATTTTTTGAAATAAAACATTTCAATTGACACCAAATTTTTGTTTTTAGAATTTTGTTTTGTGTAAAATTTTGATAATCTGGCTTTTTTTAAATCCCAATTTAGAAGAATTTCTTCCTCTTCTCCCCCCCCACAGAGAAATCTCAAAATTTTGCACAGAATGGAAAATCTGCTTTCTAACTATCTGTGCTGTCAATCTAACCCTGTGTTTGGGCTTGGGGTATTTGATTAGGGCCTATCCCTACCTCATCCTCCCTATATTGGCTCCAGCATCTCATCCTTCAGAAACAGGCACCTTTATCCTATCCATGCAAAACAAACTGGCTGAAGAATGCACTGGCACTTGTATACAGAAAATGTTACCTTTTCTTTTATAGTCCGTGTAACCTGTGATGTGAAAACATTTTAAAGTTAATATCTTATTTATTCAGTACTTATGATTCAAGTAAAAGGGAGTAGAGAGAGGCATAAGAGATTGGATTGTTTGTAGAACTTAACTGAATTTCCTGGCTTTTAAACACTCGATGTTCAAAAATAACTGCAATTTTGTTTTTAGAGTAACTACTATTTACTCAAAACTGTATTTCTAAATTTCTGTTCTGAGAATTTTATATGAAAGGTGCCATGTATTTCACCATTTTGCAATTCTATTGTTCACAACATATCTACCCTTTACTGCAGGATCTTGTTCTAGCTTTAGGGCTTGTCTATGGCACAGCAGCAACATTGCAGCGCTTCTCCTGTTGGCTTAGGTAGTCCACCTCCCCAAGAAGTGGTAGGTAGGTCAATGGAAGAATTATTTTGTTGACCTAGCGTGGTCTACTCTGGGGGTCAGGTCAGATTAACTATGCTCCTCAAGCGTTTGGATTTCTCACACCCCTGAGTGATGTAGTGAAGCTAATTTAATTTCCTTGTGTAGACGTGGCCTAAGTCATGTGATGGATTGCGGACTACGATACGGTGGAGAACAATGCATTTCAGGTAACAACAAAGAGTAGTCTGGGTCAATATATCTTAAATGAGGAAACACTACAAATTTTTTTTTATGGTATCTTCCATAAAAACTCTTGCATATCATTTTAGAGTTGTAAACAATACAGTTAATCAATAAGCAGAGAAGAGAGAAAATAGGAGTTGTAGACATATGTGGGAGGAACAATGGGGCAGGGGAGGAGGTGTAGGGTTATGGAAAGGCTGTTCTCCATTTTAAGAGCTGCAGAGGAGAAAGCTCTTGCACTGGCAGTGGTGAGTTTGAAAGGATGGACATGGAAGAAGCCAGTGCTATGGGAGCAACAAAGAGAGGTTGTAGCAAGTCAATGGAAACCTTAGGGCTGTCTAGGTACTGCTGTAAGGAGGGACTGGCTCAGAGCTAGCTCATCTCGCATGGACCTTGGGGAGGGACTGTACAAGATGGTACAGCCTGTTTGCCAGTGTGCGTAGCCTACTCCGTCAGAAAATGAGGCAATCCATGTCCAGAAAAGAAGCTGCATGTAACCATATTACAAGTAGAAGATGTATCTGAGGGGAAAAAGCATGTGTAAATTAAGGTCCATCAGGGGCATGTCTAATCTGAGCTGTAGCCAGTTACGCAGCAACAGCTATCGCTATTATATGTGTATTAGCACAATCTTCCTGGCAATATCCCAGAGAACTGAGAGGTGGAATGCAAAATACCTTCCTGCATTGCTCTGATGTTTGTGAGCATGGATTCAAATAGCTAAACCGCTTCCTGCGGCTGGTTTTAAGCAGTTCTTTAATTTTTGTGACAAATCTCCATTATTTTATTTTTCTGTTTTTAAAATACAGATTCATCTCTTATAGTCATAAACATTAAGTGCCCTCCAATGAAGTGTTTAGAAAGAACCTTTGTAATCATTAAAAAATGCAATGGATGTAGATTTAAAAAAACCCAGAATAAACTAAGCTAAAAATCCTGTTAGCTTTTCAGGTATCAATGCACCTCCAGAATACAATCTTTAATATGATTTACCCCTTGTTCTGGGTGAAATAAGATGGACTTCTCTATTCCACACTTTTGGGAACATGCTCACCCACTGGCTCAAGGTGAGCAGAGGATGTTGCCAAATGACAGTGAGATGAGGAACAGTTTGAGGAAGGAGAATAAATGGACAGCAGTTTCCTGTCTACTTACAACTTCGGGCTTGTCTACCTGGTCAGTCAGTCTGTGCAACAAGCCAAAGCGTAAAGCTACAGCCCTGTAACCTGCCACACACTAGCTGGCCATGTGGACCCTGCTGCGATGCACTAAAGGTTCTGTAGTAGGCTTTGACAGCAGAATGTTGAAGCATGCTATGGAACTTCTAGTGCACAGTAGCAGGGCCTGCATGGCCAAGTTAGTGTACTGCAGGTTCATGCCCTGGCTTGCTGCCCACTAAGTCAGTGTGGACAAGCTTTGTTGGAAAAACAAACACCATTTTGTGGCTGCCTGCTGTAGGAATGCACAAGAGACAAAAGGCACATGGCTTTCTACCTTCCTCCTCTCCACACTCCTGATTCAGCCACAGTTATAGTTGTGAGCATCTGAAAATCAGGACATAGGTGTCTAAAGTTGATTAATCAAAAACTGAGGTGGCCAAAATCAAAGGCCATTAATGAAAATTTGGGCCCAAAAAACATGACCCAAGTCATAAAAAATCATCTGCAGAAATGAGAATGGGGAAATGGGTTCAACTCAGAACCCTGGATCTTAAAGCCAGTGAACTTTCTATCATAGGTCCATATGCTGATAGTCTTGGCTTCAAAACTTTCTCTGGTCCCCAGAAAATACCCTCTCCTATTTTTAAAAAAAATAAAAAGGAGGGAGAGAATTAGTTGATTAGAGAACCTGTGGTAGGGAGGTAAGGATGAGAAGTTCTAACTCTTGTAATTCTTTGAGTGAAAATCATTGCTGACCACTCCCTTTTCTTCCTTCACCTCATCCTGATGTGCTTTGTACTCCATCCCATACGCTTGACTTTTCTAACTGATTCAGCCAGCTCCCTCTTGCAAAATATTTCTGAAATCCCACCAGCTACTTGAAGCATTCCTCCTATAATGACCACATGCCACTTTATGCCTGATTCACTGGCTTTACATCAGTCAAATTCTGCTGACTTCATTGGATTTGCACCTGATTTATACCCCTGTAATCAAGAGGAGAATCAGGCCTGCTCTGTTTGGTATAGGTGCTGGAACTATGGATGCTGGGGGTGCTGCTGCATCCCCTTGCTTGAAGTAATAATAACAACCCAAATACACGGTTTCTGCCTTCAATACCCCCACTATAAAAATTGTTCCAGCACCACTGTTGTTGGGTCTACATTGTACCCACTTGTGTTAGTTTAGATTGTACGCTGTTTTCAGCAGAGACTTGTTACATGTTCTTTGGCACGCTTTATCTCCTGTACAGCTCCATGTGCCCTTCATAATGCTATCTAGATAAATTAAAACCTGTTTTTAAGGATAATGAGCTGTATTCTGTCCCGATTCACATCTATGTAGTCCCATTGACTGGGATGGCACTGGTGTAGCTGAGGGCTGAATTGGGCTCAAGTTGTGAAAGAACTGGGCCTGAACACATTTAAATTTATTCAGGTGGCAAAATGTACCTCTGATTAAGCAAATTGAAGAGCTATCTGTGGTCAGTGCATAAGAACAGCCATAATGGGTCAGACCATAGGTCCATCTAGCCCAGTATCCTGTCTTCTGACAGTGGCCAATGCCAGGTGCCCCAGAGGGAATGAACAGAGCAGGAAATCCTCAAGTGATCTATCCCCTGTTGCCCATTCCCAGCTTCTGGCAAAGAGAGGCTAGGGACACCAGTAGAGACTCAAGCACTTTTAAAGAATGATGCAAAAGGTGTGGAGCGTTTGCTTTTTAACAGGGTTAAGTCTGGATTACTCAAAATGAGTTCCTTACCAATACAATAAAGGAAACTCAAGCACAAGCTTCTAGGTCTTGAGGAGAATGTAGATTGACTTGTTCGACTTGGTGGTAAAGCCCCCTGACCCAAAACATGTCATTCCATCGGTCAGCATCTAGGCACTAGAGGGGAAGAAAAATGAATGCTATGGCTTTAGAGGAGTTACTTTTAGAAACATTTACATAGCAGCTAAACAGTTTTTTACCTTCCACCAGGGTTAGGTTATTTCTTAAATCAAAAGTGGCTAAATAAAACAAACTGTTATGGAAAACTTTACCTTAGTTTCTATTTTTACTACCATGATATTTAACCACCAAATGGGGCAGAATAACCAAGTTAGTAAATTTAAATCCATCATGGGCCAGACATGTTTTAGGCCAGGGTGGGAAACCTTTTTTCTATCAGGGGCCACCGACCCACAGAAAAAAATCAGTCATGGGCCACACAGCCCGGGGGTGTGTGTGTGCAGAGGCTTGGGACTTCCCCTAGGCTCTGGGGTGGGGCCAGAAATGAGGGGCTCTGGAATGGGGCTGAGGGGTCTGGAGTGTGGGAGCAGGCTCAGGGCTGGGGCAGGAGGATTGGGGTGTGGGAGGAGGTTTGGGGTGCAGGCTCTGGGAGGGAGCTTGGGTGCAGGAGGGGCTCAGGGTTGTGGCAGAGGGTTGGGGTGGGGATGTGGGGTCTGG